AGTGGTTTATATAGTGGTTTTATCAGTGTAAAATCTTCCTAGAGGGCCGGGACTGGGGCTGGGGCTCAGTGGTAGAGCACTTGCCTAGAAAGCCCTGGGTTCAGTCCCTAACAGTACCAAAAAAATCTGCCCTGTGCCATATTTTTGTAACAGGGCCCCAGCATTCTCTCCCTTGGGTATCGCCTTATGGCTGCTTTCCTGCACCTCCCTAGCCGGTACATCTTTAGGAAGCACTGGAATCTACTATGAGAATCAGAGGCTGCTCTGCAAGCAGGCTGCCTAGAACTAACAAGCCAAAACACCTTCTTGTCTAGCTTGAAGGCAGAGCAAACAGGTGGTGACACATCTGCAGAGGTGGAAGAGTTATTCTTACCCCTAGACAAGTGTCTCGTGTTCCTTGGAAACCGAACATTGGGAGACAGGACTCATCATCACGGTGTAGCTCTCTGTGCCCCCACACTCATCTCGTGCACCATGGGGGCACGGCTGCATCCCTGGGTGTGCCCATGCCAGCCATTGGCTCTGAGATGGGCCAGATTCTATTCTGGCAGCTCAGACTAGGGGAACTGCTGAGGCCAGTAAGAAGGTGATCCTTTTTATAGAGTGCTAGGAGCATGAAGGGATGGAGGGAGACCAAGTCTCACTGCATCCGGAGCTTAAGATTCTGTCTGCTTTGCCACAGGTGCCTATGACCGCTTCCTACCTTACATTCTCATGGGAAGTCTGACCATCCTGACAGCCATCCTCACCTTGTTCTTACCAGAGAGCTTCGGTACCCCTCTCCCAGACACCATCGACCAGATGCTAAGGGTCAAAGGGTAAGGAGGGCTTCTTTATCACGGGGTGAATATACTGGGTCTGGGCCTGGCCACATCTTCAGAGCCCCCTCCAGATCCTTTCTCAGACACCTTGGACTAGGTTAGCCGTGAGAGGATTATAAACGGCAGTGGTCTGATCCTGTGTGGACGTGTCTCTGCGCACATCTCCATGGAAACTGCAGCTCTGGGAGAGTACAAAGACCAGGAGAAACCTTTTTTTCCTAGTGAAGATATCCTCGTTTCTGGCTGATTTGTTCTGAGATTGTTTGTTTTGGGGCTGATTTGTTTTAAGATGTTACTAACGTTTGTTTTGCTTATTTTAATAGACTAAAACATAGGCAAACCCCAGGCCTCACAAGGATGTTAAAAGATGGTGAAGAAAGCCCCACAATCCTTAAAAGCACAGCTTTTTAACACAACTTCCAGTAAGCGAGAAATGGAAGCGGAAAGCCTGCATCTTGTCAGAAACATCTTGTGCAGACTCTGGGTCCTTCAGTGACAAAGGGCGTTTCTGTTTGTTCTGTGATCCTTTGTCTGACCTCACGGAAGGGAACCCAGCTCCGGAGAGTGCTTGTGGTCTTGGTGCTCTGCCTTTCCTCCAGGGACACCTTGGCTACCTACAGACAACTCAGATGTTTGCTCTTAGCAGAGGGCATGGCACTCCAAAGAAGTCAGTGACTCACTAGAACCAGTGGGATTTGGCAGGATGTGAGCGACATCTACTAGATACACTTCTTAATCTTAGACTACCTGAAAAGGCCCTGGTAAAATTGGAGGTCTTTAGTTTTCTCCCTTCTTTTCCTAAGTGGTGAATTTTAAAGGAAAAGAAATAATTGCACAGAGAGTTTGATTTCTCACCTCTTTCTCAGTTACAAAGGACATTAACTGGGATTATTATGCATCCACTGCAGAAGCACACAGGACCAGAGAGACCTAAAACTAACCGAGGAGGAGAGGACCGAGCAGATGCAGAAAACGGGCAGGTGCAATGACTTGTGACCACTCGGTGGGGCTGCTGGGTGGCCTCGTTTACATCTGATCAAAGCACTGGGGCTTGTCCAGGCCCCGGAGAAATGCATTGTTAAGTCTACTCTTCCTGTTTTCCACTACCGTGTAAATCAAAGCTCCTCCATACTAAGCTTCCGATCTGCGGTTGGAAGGAAGTGTATCTGTGAGAAATTGTCTCTTTTCTCAGAACTGTCGTGAGGATTGTGTTCTGTTGTTTCGTTTATTGTTATGTCTTCTCCTTAAGTTATTTGCCCTTCAGCAGAGGGTTGAGAAAGGCTGTTTCCTGGGTTGTTTCTCTCTTTTCTTCAGCCCAGAATTGTTCTGGCAATGGTATGCAATTGCTGCTGCACAGGCCTTCCCAGCCTTAGCCACTAGCACTTCCCGGAGTGCCAGAAACAATCTCATTGTGTGTATTCCTTTTGTGAGATCTAATCATGGGGAAAACTGTCAAAAAGAAATGTAAATCATGTTCACAGTCTTGGAGAGTTGCTCACTTCAGTCACATGATACTATTGGGAGATATCTGTGTTCAGTGTAATTGTCTTTCTGATTATGTTGCCATGGTACTCCTAAAGCATATGCTTTATTTGGTTTTTTTAAAAAACGTATTTTTGTGAAAGCTACTGAAGTGCCTTGAGAAGTGAGACAGTTCTAATAAATGAAATGATTTTTTAAATAATAGCAACTGTCTTCAATCATATTTTCAGAATTTGGTGAGCCCTTGCCATACCATCGCCTGACTGTCAGTTTGGGCTACCTGTAGCAGGGGATTAGACTGTAAGGTGAATGTTTAATCCCTGTGTTCTGGAAATCTTCACTCTTTTAACTAACTGAACTGCTCTAACCTCTGGCACAAGTGTTCGCCTCATTCACCAGGGAGCAGCACTTCTGCGCATTTAATTAGTCTTCCTGGGAATAAGATGCCAGGGAAAAGGAATAAAGGATAAGGAGAGGAACAGGGAAGGGAGACTGGATACCAGATGCCTTACCAAGCTGACCAGTGTCAAAAACGGGGATACTGCAGCCATCAAAAGCTGTGGAGGGCCAGGGGCATAGCTCAGCAGCACAGTGCCTACCTGGCAAGCGCGAGGTCCTGAGTTTTATTCCCAGTTGAAAAAAAAAAACCTCTGTGAAGCTGGGCCTAGTGGCACAGGCCTATAATCGTAGCACTGGAGAGGCTGAGGCAGGAGGATCGCTATGAGTGCAAGGCCAGCCTGGGCTACATAGTGAGTTCAAGGCCAGTCTGAACTACACAGCGAGACCCTGTCTCAAGCAAAGAAAAAACCCTCCATGAACTGCACCTCCAAACCACCTGTGCCATGGATTAAAGAGGGAAGTATCAATTTCTTGGCACTTGTTCCTCAGAGGCAGCCCCTTAGGTGCCAGTGGCTCACATATCCAGGTTGCACAGGCATGAATCTTGTCTTTTCTCTCGTTGCTGAGACAAAATACCCACCGCCAAAATTAAAGAAAAGAAGGTGTATTTAGTTCACAATTTGCATAGGTTTCAGTCTGTAATCAGCAGGCTCCAGGCAGGGTGGCATGGCATAGGGGGAACAGTTCAAGGCAGCAGAAGGTAGCAAAGGCAACAAGAGCAAAAGCAAGGAGAACAAGCCTCTTTTCCTCCCTTGTATTGTATGCAGGCTACCTGCCCAGGGCAGTGTAGCACTCACACCCTCTCTGTGCCCTCCTCTTGCTCAGGATGAGGGTGTTTACAAAGTGAGGCCCCTGACCCCTGCTGGGTCTCTTTCTTAAACTTCTAAACTTCGCAAGTTGACACAATGTATCAACCATTACAAATCCCAAATGGGGCGGGTAGAAGGTGAGAGGGAGCTTGCACATTGCCCACCCAGAGTGACAGGCTGCACCTCAGGGAAGCTGGCTAGAGCCCGCGGAACTGGGGGTATGGTGGGGCAGAGAGAATTGGGGTTGAGGGTACAGCACAGGAGTATCAAGTCTGCATACAGTCTGTCGCCTAGTGACTTGGGCTAGAGAGTGCAGATGGACCTGTGACAGAATTAGACCTGTTTCAGCAGAAATCATGTGTCTTCCTAGAATCCCGAGACACACCCCTGAAGATTTCATCTCATGAAGATGGGACCTAATCTCAGAGACAGAGTTCTACAAGAAGCCACCAGAGACACTTGGACATCATCTTTGTTGTGGGCCGGCTAGAGGGCAGCTGCCAGGTACCCGACTGGCTCTTTACCCTGGAAGTCTCCCAGAAGCTTTTCCTGTGGCTGTGTAGAGGGGGAGTGGGGGTACATTCTGCACATGGAGGACAGACTGCTGTGCATGCAGCATGATCGCTATCTCGCCGGGATAGTCCGCTGAAGAGATCTGAGCGTTTACTGTTCGTGCAGCTTTACATTAGGAACAAAAGAGTTCTGAAATTTCCAAAAGCCTTCATACGACTGTTGTCCTCCATCCCAAAGACAAGCATTAAAAAAGTAAACATTTAGGGGCTGGGGATTTAGCTCAGTGGCAAAGCGCCTGCCTGGCAAGCGCAAAGTCGTGAGTTCGGTTCCCGGTACCGGAGAAAAACCAAAAAAAAAAAAAAAAAAAAGTAAACATTTAGAAATATTTTCCACCAAAACTAACCAAATAAAAATCAGCCTAACAGTATACTTCAAAAATTGAAGGGAAAGCCGGGCATGGTGGCACACACCTATAATTCCAGCCCTTGGGAGGCTGAGGCAGGAGGATCACCAAGAGTTTGACACCAGCCTGGGCTACATAGTGAATTCAAGCCCAGCCCAAACTACATAGCAAGACGCTGTCTCAAAACAACAAAAACAAAAACAAGCTTGAAGGGAAAAGAAGTAGAAAATTCTAAACTTGTACCCAATCTCTTGAGCCAACAACATTTGCTGGGCTCCCTAAAACTCCCAAATTGGGCCAATAGCAGACTGGTTAAAAGCTCTATTTTCCCTTTTCAAAAATTTTTAAAGCCAAAAATGGATAAGACGGAGAAAATAGGCAATGGGGATGACCCTGAAAGGAGTGAGACTGCTTAAAAGAAACGCTAACAGGGATCCTACAGGCTGAAATGAAAGGACAGAAGACATAACTTGAATCTAAATAAAGAACTAACGGGTAAAAGTGGCTACCTCACTAAATATTAAACTGATAAGAACAGATACTACACTTGATCTTAGTCAAAAGGCCGAGAAGCCTTACCTCACTAAATATAAAAGACAGTATTCACATATTTTCTTTACATGTCTTTTCCCTATATGATTTGAGATAGCTGCACAAAGCAGTAATGATAAATGTATGCGGATAGGTTCACAATGTGTGGCAGTATAACCTGTGACAATGCCAGTCTAAAGAGGGCAGAGCTAAAAGGAAAGTTTTTGTATATTATTGAAAATAACTTGGTATAATTTAGACTAGGTCCTTTGATATATGAATTGTAATCCCCAAGGCCCCATTGAGAAAATACCCAAAAGTATGTAGCAAAAAAAGATACAGAATTTAAAATGATACCCTAGAAAATACATATTTAAGACAAACCGTACTGAAAGAAGCAATGGACAAAAACAGTAAAAGACATGGAAAACAAGTGGCCAAATGGCAGAAGTAAACCCTTTCTTGTCAGTAATCACAGAAGTATAAATGTAACTCCTCTATTAAAAGACAGACTGCTGGGGCAATTTGTGGTGGCACACCCATGCCTGTAATCCCAGCACTTGAGGCTGAGGCAGAAGAATCACTGGGAGTTGGAGATCAGCCTGAGCTACAATGTGAGTTCAAGGCCAGCCTGAACTACACAGTGAGACCCTGTCTCAAAAACAAAAAGAAGGTATCACAGCCAGGCATGGTGGTGCGTGCCTGTAATTCCAGGCCTGTAATTCCTTCCTCTAGGAGGCTGAGACAGAAGGATCTCAAATTTGAGCCCAGCCTGAGAAACTCAGCAACTAAGCAAGACCCTGTCTCAAAATAAAACCTAAAAAGAGACCTAGGGATATAGTAATGAAAACTAAAAAGAGCCATGGATGCAGCTCACTGCAAAGCCCTTGGGTTCAATCCTCAGTAAAAAAAAAAAAAAAAAAAAAAAAAAAGTATCAGAGGGCTACACCTAAAAAGCTAAAACTAGATTTAGGAATAAAATGTGAGGAGGAGGGAAGGAAGGGGATGGAAAAAAATGTGTTACGGAGCTTGGGACACAGCTCAGCAGCACAGCACCTGCCTGGCAAGTGCAAGGTCGCGAGTTCGATTCCTGGTACCAAAAAAAAAAGATGTGTTAGGTACATGTCCCAACTCCCCAGGATAAGTGTGATCATTATGTACTACAAACATGTATAGAAAAAAAACACAGTGTAGGAAGAAAGCTTTATAATGTTGGATAAATTGGACTTAAAACTTCTGTGCATAAAAACATAGTGATACAATTCATGTATCTGTGCATAAATCATGTATCTGAAAAGGAGTTAATATCTAGAGTATATGAAGAACTCCTGCAACTCAACCACAACAACAACAAAAAAACTCATTTTTAAAATGGGCGAAGGATTTGACTAAACATTTCTCCAAAGAAAATGTACAAATGGCCAATAAGCACATGAAAAGATGCTTAACCTCACTAATCATCAAGGAAAATGCAAATCCAAACCACAGAAAATACCACTCCATGCCCATTAGGTTGGTCATTATAAACAGCTCAGAAAATAACAAGTGTTGGTAAGGATGTGGGAAACTGAACCCTTGTGTGCTACTAGGCAGGCACTGTGCTGCTAAGATTTGGGGGAAACTTACTTATTGTTGTACTTTCTGTAGTGTGCTTATTCCTTATAATAAGCATGTATGAGTTATGAAGTGATTTTTCACTTTTAAAGGAGGGGTCTAAATAAATAAATGAGGGACTGGAGGGGTTGGAGGTATAGTTCAGTGGTGCATGCTTAGCATGCCCTGGGTTCAAACCCCATCAACATTTTTTTTTTTTAATTACAAAAAATAAAAAACTACACCAGCAAGTTGGCACACACCTGTAAACCCAACACTCGGGAGACTGAGGCAGGAGGATCATTGCAAGTAAGTTGCCAGCCTGGGCTACAAAGTGAGCTCAATGCCAGCCTGAACTGCATAACGAGACCCTGTCTCAAAAAGACTAAAAAAATTAAAAACGGCTGAGTGTGGTCATGCCTGTAACTCCAGCATTCAGGAAGCTAGGGGCAGGAGGATCGCTGGGCTAAATTGCAAGTTCAAGGCCAGCCTGAACTACCTAGTGAGGCCCTGTCTTAAAAAAAATAAAAACATAAAAAACTAGAGATAATTATGCAAGATATGTACAATGATTAATTCTGAGAACAAGGAAGAATTATTTTCTTCTATGTAGTTTTTAATATTTATAAAATCCCTGTAACCCTCTTCAAATATTTTTAATGCCTTTCAACTCCTCGAAATATGACACATTTCTAGTATTCTATTTCTCCTTGACACTTCTGCTTACATTGATACCAACATGCCTTCCGGGAAGGCACATTAACTGCCTTCATCTCTGATTACCCCAGTTCTATCCATGTTCAAGGCTGATAAGGACATGTTCTTCCTGGGAGGTACTTCCTGGTTAAGTGCCCAGACCTGGAGCAGATAGAGTGATCACGTGGTCCAAAAGCAGACCTCTTCATTTAGTCCTTAACTTTGGGCAGTTCTCCTGAAACTCAGTTTTCTCATCTGCAAAATAAACCATCTCATTGAGTTTCTATACAGATCACATTAGATCATGCTCATAAAATGCTTAGCAATGTTAAATTTGTGCTGACAATAATAGCATTGCTATTCCACCTCCTTCTGACCTCTGTAATGCAATTCCTGACTCCACACGTCATTAGTTTTTATCATATTCTGTTTGGTTCCATGAGGAAAATTGTAACCACCTTTGGGAGTAAAGGCAGACCTTCTGTCTCTAGGGTACTTCTAAGTAGTACACGCCCTTTACATTTGGTAGTAGTTTTTAATTGAACAAATAATTTAATCATTCATCCTTAATGAGTGAGCTCTCAGAAAAACATTCTCCGTGAAGCCCACATCTTTCTGTTTTCAGTCCATGCAGACTTATGGCACCGGTGCTTCCTGAAGGCTTCCTAACCAAGCACACAGACTTCCTACCCCAGCCTCTGCCCTTCACCTCAAGCTGGGTACTGGCTGCCTGAGTGTGCAGTAGTGAAGGAAATGCCATGCTTGATCTCCTAGAGACCTGTGTTCAAATATTCACGGAGTAGTCATGGTTTGTTCTCAAGCCTGCTTCACAGGAAGATCTAACAGTGATGTGAAGTGCTCTGACCTGCGCAGGTAACCTCAGACAGGCTACTGGTGAAAGCTTCAGTGACAACTGCCCTGTACCACCCAGCCCTCAAGGGCACCTTCTCAGAGGCTGACTCAGACAGGATGCATCTTGGAGGGCTGACTTCTTTTCACTAGAAAATGACAATGATTTCCATCTGTGCTGCCACAAAAGTAAGACTTATCTTCAAGGAACACATAAAAGATGAATCTGTTTCCCCAGAAATAAGGGTGAAACCCCTATAACAAAATTATTTACTTTTATTGGTTCAGGAAAAATTATTCCCTTCCTTTTAAAAAAAAAAATTTTTGCCGGGTGTTGTGCCGCTCGCGTGTAATCCTAGCACTCGGGAGGCTGAGGCAGGAGGATCACTGTAAGTTTGAGGCCAACCTGAGCTACATAGTGAGTTCAAGGCCAGCCTGAATTACATAGTGAAAGCCTGCCTCAAAATAAAATAAAATAAAATTCTGATTTTATACAACAATGCTAATCAACCCTGGAACACTAAAAATCAGAGAAAATTTTTGGTCCCACAAGGTCAAGGAGAAATCCGGACCATGGGAAATCACCAAGATTAAAGATTCCAGGCCAGCCTTCTCCTGGCACTGTTCACCTTTATAAGATGTATGGAAGGAAATCAGGACTTGGCTTTCCCTTCATGTGTTTTTTTCTCTTTTCCTGGTCTTCACTTTCTGGACGTACTCTTTACACAGAAGCACACTTAGCTCCACTTTGCTCTCATGGAGCCCTACAGTGAGGAAGGGGCTTGTCCAAGGCATGCGTTCGGTCCCCCTGCTTCTTTTACAGTGCAGAACAAAACCGTCATAGTAAGAACAGGGAAGCATGGGCTGTTGTTTTTCCAAGGTCACCATTCGTCCTGCCCATTGCCCAACCTGCTCTTGAGGAAAATGCTGGAAGCCCCTGAATCAGTCATACCAAGCCCTCCACCATGCAGGTCAAATTACAAATGCAAACTAAAGTGAATTTAGGCAGACAAAGAATCAGTGTGGGTTTTTTGCTCCAGTTTTCAAACTGTCTCATCTTTGTTCTGTGACAAAAAAACAAAAACACTTGTATATTTGCTGTGTCACAGACAACTAACTGTACGTGGAGTACAGAGTCTTGTCCATGATTTCCAAAAGCAAGTGAGTAGAAGGGCTTAGGGAAATACGTCCAGGTCTCAGGGGCCGTGCTGACAGACATACAAAGGATTCCATCAAACTTCGTGACTCTACCCGGATCAAACGGCCTAACTGTGGGGGTGAACCAACAGGCTAAGTTTGAGGCGCCCTCCACACACTGCAGTGCCTCCTCGGTGTTCCAAGTCAAGATCACAGGGCCCCCCCCCCGCGCGCTTCTAGAACCACCCAGTTACCATGGAGACAGTTCTGGGACCGTCGGAGAATGCCCCCGGGAGCCCGCCGAGAGGCTGACCGGAAGTACTGCGTCGGTGTTTTCCCTTCTCCGTTGTTTCACCACCTTCCTCACACCCTGAGTAGGTATGGTTATTTTCCACACGCTACAAGGTCAGAAACTAAGGCCAACTCGTTAAATGTTTCACCCCCTCTCAGTCAGTGAGAGACGAGGCCGAGCCTGAGCCGCGGCGTCCCTAGCCCCGCGGTCCCTCGTCCCCGTGTTCCAGGGCGCC